ATTGTAAAAGCTATATATGCTAAGCCTCAGGCTAGCATCATTCTAAATGGAGAAAAACTGAAGGCATTCCCGCTAAAATCTGGAACAAGACAGGGATGCCCTCTCTCACCACTTCTATTTAATTTAGTCCTTGAAATACTAGCCAGAGCAATTAGACAGACAAAAGAAATTAAAGGCATAAAAATAGGAAAAGAAGAACTTAAAATATCACTATTTGCAGACGATATGATCCTATACTTAGAAGACCCAAAAGGGTCTACAAAGAAACTACTAGAACTGATAAATGAATTCAGCAAAGTGGCAGGATATAAAATCAACACGCATAAATCAAAGGCATTCCTGTATATCAGTAACAAAACTTCTGAAATGGAAATGAGGAAAACCACCCCATTCACAATATCCTCAAAAAAAATAAAATACTTGGGAATCAACCTAACAAAAGAGGTGAAAGATTTATACAATGAAAACTACAGAACCCTAAAGAGAGAGATAGAAGAAGATCTTAGAAGATGGAAAAATGTACCCTGTTCATGGATAGGCAGAACCAACATCATCAAAATGGCGATATTACCCAAAGTTCTCTACAGGTTCAATGCAATGCCAATCAAAATTCCAATGGCATTTCTGGTAGAAATAGATAAAGCTATCATGAAATTCATATGGAAAAACAAAAGACCCAGAATAGCAAAAGCAATTCTAAGCAGGAAGTGTGAATCGGGAGGTATAGCGATACCAGATTTCAAACTGTACTACAGAGCAATAGTAACAAAACCAGCATGGTACTGGTACCAAAACAGGCAGGTGGATCAATGGTACAGAATAGAGGACACAGAGACCAATCCACAAAATTACAACTTTCTTATATTTGATAAAGGCGCTAAAAGCATGCAATGGAGAAAGGATAGCATCTTCAACAAATGGTGCTGGGAAAACTGGAAATCCATATGCAACAAAATGAAGCTGAACCCCTTTCTCTCGCCATGCACAAAAGTAAATTCAAAATGGATCAAGGACCTAGATATCAAATCAGAGACTCTGCACCTGATAGAAGAAAAAGTTGGCTTCAATCTACACATTGTGGGGTCGGGCTCCAAATTCCTTAATAGGACGCCCATAGCACAAAAGTTAATAACTAGAATCAACAAATGGGACTTACTCAAACTAAAAAGTTTTTTCTCAGCAAGAGAAACAATAAGAGAGGTAAATAGGGAACCTACATCCTGGTAACAAATCTTTACTCCTCACACTTCAGATAGAGCCCTAATATCCAGAATATACAAAGAACTCAAAAAATTAAACAACAAGATAACAAACAACCCTATCAACAAATGGGTGAAGGACCTGAACAGACACTTCTCAGAGGAGGACATACAATCTATCAATAAGTACATGAAAAAATGCTCACCATCTCTAGCAGTCAGAGAAATGCAAATCAAAACCACCCTAAGATACCATCTCACTCCAGTAAGATTGGCAGCCATTATGAAGTCAAGCAACAATAAATGCTGGCGAGGATGTGGGGAAAAGGGTACACTTGTACATTGCTGGTGGAACTGCAAACTGGTGCGGCCAATATGGAAAGCAGTATGGAGATTCCTAGGAAAGCTGGGAATGGAACCACCATTTGACCCAGCTATCGCCCTTCTCGGTCTATTCCCTGAGGACCTTAAAAGAGCATACTATAGGGATACTGCCACATCAATGATCATGGCAGCACAATTCACAATAGCTAGACTTTGGAATCAACCCAGATGCCCTTCAATAGATGAATGGATTAAAAAACTGTGGCATTTATACACAATGGAGTATTACGCAGCACTAAAAAATGACAAAATCATGGATTTTGCAGGGAAATGGATGGCATTAGAGCAGATTATGCTAAGTGAAGCTAGCCAATCCTTAAAAAACAAATGCCAAATGTCTTCTTTGATATAAAGAGAGCAACTAAGATCAGAACAGGAAGAAGAGCATGAGGAAAAGATTAACATTAAACAGAGACGAGTGGGGGGAGAGAAAGGGAGAGAGAAGGGAAACTATGGAAATGGAAGGAGACCCTCATTGTTACACAAAATTACATATAAGAGTTTGTGAGGGGAAAGGGGAAAAAAAAACAAGGGAGAGAATTAAACAACAGCAGATGGGGTAGAGAGGGAAGATGAGAGGGAAGGGGATGGGGGATAGTAGGGGATAGGAAAGGTAGCAGAATACAACAGTCACTAATATGGTATTATGTAAAAATGTGGATGTGTAACCGATGTGATTCTGCAACTTGTATTTGGGGTAAAAAATGGGAGTTCATAACCCACTTGAATCAAATGTATGGAAGATGATATGTCATGAGCTGTGTAATGTTTTGAACAACCAATAAAAAAAATATTTTTTAGTTATCTATGGGCACAATATCTTTATTTTGTTTATTTATTTCTATGTGGTGCTGAGGTTCAAACCCAGGGTCTCACAAGTGCGAGGTGGGCACTCTATCGCTGAGCCACAACCCCAGCCCCTATCTCTAATTTCTTTGTGCCCTGCAGACTCACATTTCTAAAATAAATAGTAGCAGTAACATGGAATTAGAGTCAGGTGGATTTTAATGATTTTCATAGATGTTCACAGGTATATTTTGAAACTAATATCAGACTTTCAAATATCATTTTCTTTTTGTTGCATAGTTGTTCCCATCCCAATTTTGAATTAAGTCTTTCTCATTCATTCTAATTGTCATCTTAAGTCATATATGAACTTTGTTGAGTGTCTGTTCAGGTGGATAGATACTACTTACTTATCATCCTCAGCATGATAAATAAGAACTGATAAATTATATTTTTGACATTTATTGACTATTTGCTATGTTTAAAACACTTTGCTGAACTTAAATCACCTGTATTAATTTGTAATTTCTTTTTAAAAATATTTTTTAGTTGTAGTTGGACACAATACCTTTATTTTATTTATTTATCTTTATGTGGTGTTGAGGATCAAACCAAGCACCTCACACATGCTAGGCCAGTGCTCTACCTCTGAGCCACAACCCCAGCAATTTGTAATTTATTGAAGATAAGGAAAGTAAAGTTCAGAGAAATGAAGTAACTGTTCAAAGTCAGTAGCAGAATATGGAACTCAAATTCTGTTCTTTGCTTTCAAAACTGGATCTCTCAGCCACTACTCCATTCCAGAAGAGAATTTTAAGTTGCAGGTTTTCTTGAACATTTTCCTTTAAATGAGTTTGGCTGATTTAGGTTGGACATAAAGGTGGGATTTAGTTTAATGGCTATAAAAAGTAGAATGGAATACTAAAAGAAAATAGAACTTCTTTCTCTTTGGAAAAAAGAACAACAAAATTCATATGTCTGAATAGAACTGGATGATACCAAAAGAGTTTACACAATGGGGAAGCACATACAAATGTACTAGTATTTTTGAAAAGCTGCTACTATTTATGGATCACTAAATAGGCCAAACTAGAATAATACAATGGTAAGAACCATTGTTTTTGTTTCTTCTTGTTGCTTTGGCTGATATTGTTGTTAGCATTATTTTGAAAAATTATTACAGAGATAGGAATAAACTGCAAGAACCCCTCCAGAGATTTGAGAATGAACAGGTTTTTTGTTTTGTTTTTAGTTTCCTTGTAGGGTAGTACATTTGATTGACTGGTATATTACTGTAGGCAATCACAACTGAAATCCAAGATGATCAATCTTTACTTGTGCAGACCTATAGATGGCACTGTCTTCCTATAATTTTGGTAATTTGCTTAAAAAAAAAGAAAAAGAAAAAGTTCTCTGCAGGTACAGTTAAATTTAAATTCTATCATTGCAAAGCATTTGGAACAGGTGGCTTCAGGTGCCTTGCAAAGATCATAGAAAATTCTATACTTGAAAAAATTTAGAGGACTGTATTTTGTAGATTAATTTTTCCTTTTAATTGTCATTATTGGCTATGTAAGGAAAATTAGGTTTACAGAGATACAGAAGGAAGAAGCTATTTCTGTTTGATATAATATTTTTTTCTGTGCTTGCTTTGAAATATAAAGCATAGTCTTGGATCAAACAAAAATTGTAAATAAGCTAGTCATAAACATATATTAATTGCTTTTAGAGTGTAGAGATTACCCGACACTCCTAGAGTACATAATTTGGCTTCTCGAAATTCTTGGAACTAGAGTATGTGTTTTTGTACTTGTAAATTATAAACTTCTGTGAATAGGAACTATAGTGCCAAATGCATAGTTTTCATTTATATATCTGAGCCAGCTACTTAAATGTCATTTCTTGTTTTAATCTAGTAGGCTTTAATATAAGAAAATGAGGGGGGTATATGAATACTATATTCTCCTTTAACATAAGTTCCAAACAGGATGGATATATGGATATATATATATATATATATATATATATATATATATATATATATGAGTACTTTTTTTTTTTTTTTAAGATTAATCCCTACTGTGTTGTGGATTTATTTCATTAATGGGAAATACCACAAGTATTTGCTTCTATAAACAATCTTCTAACCACAAGGTGGCAGTATAACTTTCCCATGTCTTTAAAATTTTGATAGTTAAATGATCAGTAAATTAAACTATTTCTTACTCTCTTAATAAGGAATGTATGCAGCTAAAAAAATTTTAGGGCATCTATAAAGAGGATAAATATTAAAATTTATCTATATAAGTAGAAAAACTCATTTATAACTAAAAAGAATAGTAGTTTTTAGTTACACTTAGCATTTTTTGGGGGGCGGGGGGATACCAGAGATTGAACTCAGGGCACTCGATCACTGAGCCACCTCCCCAGCCCTGTTTTGTGTTTTATTTAGAGATAGGGTCTCACTGAGCTGATTAGTGCCTCACTTTTGCTTAGGCTGGCTTTAAACTTACCATCCTCCTGACTCAGCCTCCTGAGCTACTGGGATTACAGGCATGTGCCACCATGCCAGGCAAAACATTTATTTCATATTATTTAAAGTTTGAATAGTAATGTGATGACATCAAAGTGTTAAGGCATGTCAGCAACTTTATTTTAAAGAGCAATGTAGTTTCATTGTGTTTGCCTGATAAGCATCAAGAAATGATATGCTGGAGATTACAAGGTCAACATAGAAAAAGGAAAGTTAAAAAAAAAATAAAGATAGAGGTACTGGCATCTAAGTTAAGAAAAGAAAATCAGTGATGAACATAATGTCTACATGATGCTTGTTGGATTTATATCTTAGGAAATGGATCATCTATCCATTTCATAGTGGATATTTAAGTAGCTAGTATCTATCATTGTATGTACTTATGTTTTAATTGGTATGCTTACATCATATGCAATATTATTTTTAATACTTGTATTTTTAATATTTTAGTTAAAGCATTCAACTCTGAAAGTATGATTTTCACAAACCTTTCATTTTTCTGTGGTTTAATTTAGAATATTGCACTGTGAAGAGTCTTGTGAAGAGTGAGCCCCTTTTAATTAGAAATCATGTTTTATTTATCTCCAGGCCTAGCACAGAGTTTAAAATACATAGCCATTCCAACATATTTTTATTTGAAAAGCATTTTCCATACAGCAATAAAATTCTATTGATATCTCTTTTGCTTATGTATCCCTGCCTAACCGGACATAAATGTGGCAAAGGAAAAGAACGCACCTTCTGATTTAGAACCCAACTAGTTTGAACTGTTTCATAGTCTCTTATTTTGCTGACAGTGGAGGAATGTTTCTAACAGAAGTGATAGTGTTTTCAGAGCAGCACTAAAAATAAAACTTGTTTTTTGACCTAAAGTATATCTAAATAAAAGTGAGTTGGGCGTGGTGGCACATGCCTATGTTACCAGCAACTTAGGAGGCTGAGGTAGAAGAATCACAAGCTCAAGGCCAGCATCAGCAAATTAGTGAGGCCCTAACCAACTAGTGAGACACTGTCTCAAAATAAAAAAATAAAAAAGAGAGGGGATGCATCTCAGTAGTAAATCACCCCTTGGTTCAATCTCCAGTACTAAAAAAAAAAAAGTCTGTCCTAACCAATATGATTTGCCCTCTATAATGGAATATTTGGCATATAATCATTATAAGATGCTCAGTTGCTGCTTATATGCAACATGAACAGAAATGTTTTATATTGTAACCTCAAAAATGAAGTATTTTACTTGTTATTATTTACATAAGTTAGAAATGGATTGCACAGTTTTGTAAATCCTCCCCTGACTTTTTAAAACAATGAGGTCAGATCTTGCTATGCTGAGTAAGTTGGCCTTGAACTCCTGGGCTCAAGTAATCCTCTTCTTTTAGCCTCCTGAGTAGCGGGAACTTCAGGTATGTATCCAGTTCTATAAAACCACTTTTGTGGGCAGGTTGAGTGTTTTAATAAAGATTTACAGTTATCATATGTAAGAACATATAAGAGGAAGGAAGTCCTATGTATGAGAAAACATAGTTTCAACCTAAATGCCTAGGTTATGTTCCAGAAATCTATATTTTTTTAGGTGAATTTTTTGAAATCAGAGTGTATTTCTCCCTAGAACATTGTTATGTAATTCATCTTTTTTTTAAAAATGTGAAATATCACTAAAAGGAACACTTAGCCCTGGGACGTTAGGGATTCCTAATTCTAAATCTATGGTCCTCTGCCCTTCTGAGTCTAGCTTTCCTGAGAGGTTTGAGAGCTGTATGGCATGGGGAATGGGAAAGACTTGCTTATATGTGGAAATAGCCTAATAACTTCTTCTTGGTGTTGAATTATGAAGGTGCCAACAGCTAAGAAGGGAAAAGATACCAGGCAAGACCAGCAGGGCTGTATCATGGAGCTTCACATTCAGAGGGCTTCATAAATTTAAGCTTTTGAGAATTCTCTCAAATATGGCTAGATATAAAAATCATTGCCTTTGTCTTTGCAATTGTGTGTGTTAAAAGCATTACTATGTGAAATGTAGAAATTTAAAATAAACTATATTTTAATACCATGTTAGTTGGTATTCTTTAATAAAGAATCACTATTTTACATCATTTATTTAACAATTAGTGTTATGCATTCTTATATTTAAATAAACATGTCAATAATAAAAGATATTTTATCTTATTGTTAAGTAGTTTGTAGCTCTCAGAAGGTAATAATCTTGCTCTATTTGGTATCCTGGTCTATCCTTGGTGCCTAAAACAACCTGACACAGGACAGGTGCTCAGTAAATTTTTGTCAAGTGAATGGATGAATGAATAAATATCAAATATATTTGAGTTTTGATTTATTTTAGATTTTATTGCTTGATTAATAATTGTTAATACTTCTTAATTTAATTTAAAATTTCTCAATCTTTTATCAAGATCGTAGAGAAAATATTGCTTTCTAAATGGTCTAAAGGTTTTGGTGTGCTTTCCTCAGTGCCCATTGTCATTTGGGGTGAGAAGAATCATTGCTGCTCACCTGCCACCAAATTCAGATATTACCCCTAGAACTATGCACTTCCAAGATGTCTATTCCATTTTTCTTCCTAGTAGCTGCAAAGGAAGTAACAGGAAATCTAAAAGAATGCTAGGTTTTCTGCTCTAAGTGTTGATCTGGAGGGCCTTTAATTCTAGGTTTTATAAGTCCCATTGATTCTTCAAACCTGGATGTTTGTCTTCCTGGATTTTGCCTGCATGGAATGTAGGCCTGTTACTTCCTAACTACCTTTCTCCCTATGAATAGTTATAAAACATATGGAGTATCTTATCCTGGTGTCCTGTTTGGAGATATTTTCTCAAACTCAAAGGCCACAATGCTAGTTATAGTCATTGTAGTTAATCTTTCTATTTTGCTACCGTTTTTCTCTGAAACCTGAGTCTCACATGTGTGGCAGTCTCATAATAGTAGACTTATTCAGTGGGGTCATAGCCACCTAATCTTGATTTTCTCTTCTGGTCTATTAAGTTCTTACCATAGTGTTGCAAAGAGTTACTTAGCCTATTTATGTGTGTCGTGTGTGTATGAAAACTGATCTACATCATCTGTCTTCTCTGATCTTTGTTTTGAAATTACATAGTTTTCCAAAAATAAGTATATAGTTGACAAACTTTTGAGACTTCTGAGTACACTATGGGAAGTAAGCAAGGAAGTAAGCACATGGACATTAAACAAAGAAAGAAATAGGTTCCCCATCAAGAGGCATCCATGTAATACTGAACTTTACCTTTCAAGGAGAATAGAGGTGAGACAGGGAGGTAGTATCCTGTAGAGATTCTGATACTTTTCTGCCTGGTGTCAGATTCCAACCTTGTACTAGCTGTGTTACCTTGGGCAAGCAGCTCAATATCTCTATGCTCTACCCATAAAATTGAGATAAAATGCAATTTACTTCATACTGTCATTGGAAAGTACCAACAAGTTGACCTGTGCCAAGTGCTTAGCATTGCACCTAGCACTTGGTGAATACTCTGTGTTGTTATTAATGGATAAAGACATAAGCATTTACATATCTTTCAAACATTTTGAAATATCTTCACAGATGAGGGACATATTATATGAGTATATGCATGTATGCTATAATTCTATTCTATAATATATGAACTATTTGGTTTGCCTTCTAGGAACTTTATCTTTAATTTCACTGAACTCTAGAATTTTGTTCTCAAACTTTGAGATTTTTAATACAATCTTCTTTTTCACCAGATGAAGTAGTCTTTTTTTTTCTCAAATGTATTTATTTTGTTGCTTCTGGAGACTTCCTTTCCAAAATCCCATAGTGATTTTATAAGAATGGTTCTTTTTAGAAATGTTTATTTTTAATTGACACATCATAGTTGTATATATTTATGGTAAGAAGTAGTTCTTAACACATTTTGGTAGTCACCATATCAAATATTTGGGTTACTGCCTCCCTTAAGACTCTTTTTAACAAAAAGTGGAATTTATATGTTTATAGATATTATATTCATCATTCATAATAACTTTTGAGGTGTCAAAATTGCATAGTGTAATTTGGATTACATTTTATTGATCATTATTTATTAAGATAAATACTGAAGTCCTTTTCTTTAATATAAATTATTTTCTTATCTCCCCACCAAGTTAAAGAGACCACTTGACTGACAGCTACTGATTTATAGATTAACTAGGGTCTGTCAGTTATATTCCCAGGTTTTGAAGGTAACATTATTACCCAAGTTAGCAATTAGCTGGCTCTCCTTTTCTCATTAGTTCCTGGGTCTTTGTTTTTTTCAATCTTTCAATCCCAAAGTTCAGTGCTCTCAGTCAAGGCCTAACCCAGGCTTCCCACCAAGCTATTCTGCTTTTTTGACTCTCATCAATAGCTGCCTAATCTGACTTTTTAAAACCCTGATTTTATTCTTGGAAAATAGTAACTAAATTAATAAAGTTAATTGTACTTTGTCCAGGGGTCATAAGGTATTAAATATTTTCACCAATTTAATCCCTTTTGATAAGCTCCAAATCATGCCCTTCCCTCAAAGTTTCAATTCTGGTAGAAAAATAAGGAAAAAAGTCTTTTAAGCTAGCTATAAAATAAACTGTCCCTGTCTACTTTATTGAATGCTGGAGAAAACAAAACAGGTATCTTTCCTAGAACTCCCAAGTGTTAGATTCATGCTGCTGATGCTTATGGAATTACTAACTCAATGCCTTCTCCCCCTTTCATTCCTGGTTCTTCACAAGAAATAGCTCATGTGTGTGCACACACACACACTCAACCAGGAAGACACATTAAAATCTTCTACCTGGGCTTTATGCAGCTGTCCTGTTGTTTATATGCAGACATCATTATTATGTTCCTCTGTCTGTAATCTGATTTTCCAAGGTATTTTTAATATTTGGTCTCTCCAATGTCCATGAATTCATTTAGAAAACATTTCTTGAGTGTGATAACAGGTAAGTGTGATTGTTCTGATTTTTACCATATGGAATGTGCAGTGTAGCCATGGTGGTAACAGTTGGCTGAGCCTGTTTGGCAGAGGGAGGGTGCTTATTTCACCCAGATTCACTAAAATTTGATGTTGTGCTTTTGTAAGTTGGTTAGAAGCATTTGCATGAAAATTTTTGCCAACTTTTGTCCCTTTTTGTCCAAACTTTTTTTTAACTTGTGAAGGAATCTCAGTGTGTAAAACTTTCCATTATAAGGCCACCTGTAAACTTATAACAGTCAAACTGTTTTTTCAGCTGCCTGCAGCTGTTTCTCAACTGACTTATACTGACAGATAAAGATGGCTTTCCCCTGAGATGCACTGTTTTGTTTGTGGTTTTTCTGTCACTACCAGGAGGGACAGCACCCCACCCCCCATCCATAGGGAATGCAGAGATGCAGTTTGCAGATACAATAATATGCTGACTAGCAACTAAAAAAATAATAGTCAAATAATGACTTCATTGTTCCTTCCTGTGTCCATGACAACTTGGAGGTATGCAGCTAGACCCAGACTCTGCTTGGGAGCATTCTTTGCCTCAGATACTACTATTTTGAGAAAACTCGCAATTCATTCTGACAATCAGGCTAAGGAGAAAAATGGACATTTCCAGTATCTAGCTTGTTTTTGTGGTTTTATATAAACCGAAGGTAATTCTTTGGTCACTTCTATCTACCGGAACCATGACTTGCCCCTTTAAAATTCTGTTTTCTGGCATATTTTCTACCCTGATGAGAGCCAGTAATGTAGAATTACCATTGAAATTGGACAGAGCTGTTGGGGTTCTGTCTCAGTCAAATAACCTTGGTGAGATTTGGGGCACGTTTCTTATCTTTCTAATCCTCATGTCCTTATTCATAAAATAGGAGTAGTAATAGAATCATTCCCCATAAAGTTGTTGTGAGTTAAATGAGATAATGCACATAAAGTGAGTAGCTCACTGTTTGGCACAAGCAACACACCATAAATTGGTGGTTTGTTGTTGTTGTTAATCTCCCTGACTAGACTGTGAGCTCCCAGAATGGTGGTTTTCAGCCTGAACTACATTTTAAAATCACTTGGGTAACTTTAAAAGATCCTAATGCCAAGGCCTAACTCCAGATCAATTAAACCAGAGTCTCTGGGGGTTGGACCCAGAATTCAGCATTTTTTAAATTGCTCCAACTGAGTCCAATGGGCAGTCAGGGTTGGGTAATACTGTTCTTGAGGATGAGACGTGTAACATATCAAAGTGCTCAGAAAAAATACACATGAATATTTTGAAAGACAAAAAAGTGAGGACAATCTAGAAAAATATAAGAAGTGACATACAGTTCCTTGCACATTTTGTTTTGGTTATTTTGAATAGATATAGAACAGAAAAAAAGAAATTAAGTGATTTTTTTTTAAAAAAGGGGTATCTTAATACCAGTATCATAGTAGAGTAAATCTACTGGGAAAGAAGTAGAAAATTATAGAATAGATGAGAACCCACATTTTGAACATATGAGATAAAGTTACACAAATGGAAACTATGTGAAAGCAAAATTATTTTTATATTTTAGTTTTTGAGAAAAATAGAGTTAAGCAAGCATCAAGGCAATTCTGTGCTATTTTACCAAAACGCAAGTATAAATTCAAATGTTTCTCAGATCATATCTCTGTTTAAATTTTGAGAAAAAATACTGGCAGCACATGAAAACATACTCTTACATTGCCTTTTGCTGACTCAGGATCGTTAGCCAACTTTTACAGCACTAAACCTTTTGGAATGAAAAGGCTAAAATCCAGGTTAAACTCAATTTTACTGATTAAAAAAAGCTAGATTTCCTTCCTGATAATCCAGAGGACATTAATTATTAAGTTCCTAAGATCTTACAAAGTTTTTTTAAAAATAGCCCAAACTTTATTTTTCTAAAGGGATTTCTTAGCCCATAATTCTTTAATTGTATGTTCAACCTTTTTTTCCCCCTGGAGGTGGCACTGGGAATTGAACTCAGGACTTCGCACATGCTAGGCAAGTGCTTTATCACTGAGCTATGTCCTCAGCTTCCCAGCTCTAATTGTCTGTCCAAAAGAGAATTCCTTTATATTTTAACATCACATTATTTGGGTAAGCAGGTTATTTCAATTTAAAGTTTCTCCAAAAGAATATTTTTTAAATTTTTTATTTCTTTTTTTTCTTTTTTTTTTGTGATATTAGAGATTGAAACCAGAGGCACACTATCATTAAGGTATATTCTCAGTCCTTTATATGTTTATATATGTAAAACAAAACAAAACTCTTTGTGTGTGTGTGTGTGTGTGTGTGTATGCTCTGCCAATTGAGATACATTCCCAGTCCACAGAAAAACATTAAACAAACAACAACAAATCCAGAAAACAAATAACAACAACAACAAAACTTAAAACTTCATCTACCATTCAGTATTTGCTTCTCTGGGTATACAATTTTGAACTAGATATACTGTTGATAATCATAGTAATCATTACACTTGCTTACCACTGCAAGTTTTACATTTAATTTTGTATATATGCTATCATTCAGTTCTCCCAGTATCTCAGTGAGGGTGCAGATAAGAATAAGCCTCCTTTTGTAGATGGAAAAACTAAGGCAGCTTACTAGTAAGCAGTTCAACAGAACCAGGGTGAAAAATTCTTGGGTTTTAGTCTTTTCATTAACTCATTCCTGAACTTACTAGCATTTTCAAGTCACAAATATGTGTCAGATGCAGTTGCAGTTGATGGACATCCAAAGTAAGTCACAGTTCTTCCATTTAAGAAGTTCCACACACAGTGCTGAAAAAGCATTTTAAAGTTCATTACATGTATGGACCAAGGTGGAATAATGATTTGAAATTGCCATGGCCAAAGCTAGCAATTTTATGATACAAGCAGAAAGAAGAAATTAATTGAGGGGGGTTCAGAAGGCTGTAAATATCAACTTCTATGACAGCCAGTTAGATGCAAGATGAACCTAGATACAAATGTCCCTTGCTGCTGGATTTTGATGTGATTTCTACACCATGGGGGAGTGCTATGGTGTTTTTCTAAGAATCTATTATTCAGTGATATGTCCAGCTTTTCAACTGCTAATGTTAATTTTAGTTTTGGCAAAAATGGATTTAAAGATTAAGCATTTTGGCTTTCTTTTAATGCTAATTCATCTCAAGTATTTATGTGGTTTCTAAGGTAATCTTATTGCTGAATTTAAATACTCATACTTACTAGAAACAAATTCTACAATGAAGTGTAGAGTTAATTAATTCCCTTTAAAATACATATATTTTTGCTGATTTTGAAGTCTTAGAGTGAATTTAGTGCCTTGACTGTCTTTTATAATTAGCTATATTCTTTTCATTTTAAATGATAAATCAGGAATCAATTAGTATTTCTTGAGGATTCGTAGTTGCCCTAACAGAAGGAAAGTTCAGAAAAAAATATTAGTTTTACAGTTACTGAGTGAAAAAATTTTGTCTTGAGATATGTTTTCTTAATATTTTACAATTGAAAATATATGGAGAAATTATTATTTGTGTGAGTAAAAATCAAGATATAATGTCAGTTAAAATATAAGAGTTGTTAAGCAGCAAATAAATGAAATGTATCTTTAACTGAAATATCTTTTACTTTTGTAAAACTATTTTAACTTAATGTCAATAAAGTTTAAATTAGTTCAGACTTTTCTTATTAAAATAAATGTTTCCTTTTAAAATGCATGATAATCATAATCAAGACAAAATTTGTCCTGTTATTTATTTTCAAATGATTGTACATGTTTAGCAGACTTTTGATTTAAATCCCCAGTGATATATTGGAGACAGATGTTTAGATGACCTCATGTTTAAAGTAATGTTATATTTGGACATAAGATTAAATTATTCTTAAAATCTTTCCTTATAAGCTAAACTACGTGATAGTATACAAAACTAATCAATGATTTGCAGTGGATTAATGCAATTCCTGTATTTTAAATAAAAATTTCTGTATTTTATGGAATTGTACATAGTACAAAAGAGCTGATTATGAAACAGCTGTTTACAAATGAAAATATTGTTTTTGGCTGGCCAGCTAAATGGGAAACAGATTTGAAAAGTTCCATGAATTTGAATGCAAATTTACCATATCATTTATACTGAACCAAAGAACATTGGTAGACTGTAGCATACTTCACTAAAATATTCAGTGGAGATCTGCTTTGTAGGATACAATATAAACATTAAAAATAGTTTTTACTTTTTCAAAACTAATGTTTCCTTACGGAAATCAAGTATAACATATAGGCAGTATGTTCCAAAGGATCTTAAGGAGCTCATAAACAATATTACTTTGAATAAAGAGAAATTAGCAGATGGAGAGCTATTAGAAATATATAGGCATTTGAATGAAGTGAATGGAGTGAAATAAGTAAAATAAAAGAAAGAATGTCCAAAAACAATAAATTAATATATGTGAACAAATTTATTTAAGGCAGACCTTGGTATTAGCACTACTATCGTTTTTTGTTTGTTTGTTTGTTTTTTTACACAACATCTTTGTTTTTATGTGGTGCCGAGGATTGAACCCAGTACCTCAAATATGCTAAGTGAGCACTTTACCACTGAGCCACAACCCCAGCCCACTACTATGATTTTCATCAGCAGCTAGGATGCTATATTGTGGAAATGGCATTGCTCTAGACATTTTAATTTTTTAAAAAATGGTCTACAATAAAAACCTTCACATTTTCTCTCAAATTTAAATACTCATTAAGAATTATTTATTTTGGAAATTAGGTTATATAAATATAATTTACCTAAAGATCTTATGTTATAAATTTTGAATTATGTTATAAACTTTGAATGTCATAGTGCATAATTTAATTAAGGTACTTAGTGAGTTAAAACTTCTAGAACTATTTTGTGTTTTCTTTTCCTTTATTTTTTACCATTGTTTTTCTCCTTGTCTTTGTTTTTTGAAGATGGAAAGTGCTTCTTCAGTAACTTAAAAAAATATCAGCTGGAGAAATAATTGCCTTTTGACGGGTGGGACATTACATCTAGTTCATTGTCACCGTCTTATATCCTAAGTGATTGGTCAAGAGTACAAAGTTCTGTGACAAAACAAAAGCAAAATGAATCCAGAAATGCAAGTAGCATAAGTAAAAGCACTTTAAAATGAACTACTAATATTTTAATGGATGAGCTACCTTTAGCATACTTTATTTTTTTCTACACATTTTTTGTGTCAGTAGTTAATAAATACCTATAAAACAAATTCATTGACACACAGACATGTTAAATATAGTAAACTACAAATTTAAAGGAAAAGTTGATGCCTTGTGGCTCCTTTGCTGACATATCTTTTACTTTTGAGAATACCAGAGATAATTACCATGTTCTACATTAAGCAAAATACATATTAGTGATGGCTTATACTACTGTTTATGTGATTTTAGTTTTATTCTTGATATGACAATGTAATGATATGTAAATATCAGGCAGCTGGTACAAATGAGGAGAGTTATTGAAGGAAATTTTCTAATTTATTTTTCATCCTAACATGTTCACATATGTCTTATAAACAACATTCCTTTAAGAAAATCTGCTGATGTCTCTGCTTCTGACAAGGAATTAAAATTGAGATTTATTGCATACTGAGTAAAATTGAAATGTAATCATTACAAATAAATAAAAACAATACCTAAATATAAATTTAATATTTTAATACCAGTGTATACAAATCAGTGTGATACTGATTTTGCCAAATGTGTAATGCCATCTAGCCACACTATTGCGGGACATTCAGAACATACATATTCCCCTAGAAATCCTTTGTGTTCCACCTATTCATCTCTCCATCATCCCTCTGCCCTGCTGTCCCTGAGTATAGTGTTGCCTTTTCTAGAATTTCATTACAGTATGTAGTCTTTTCAGACTTGCTTCTGTCACTTAATAGTATGTATTTTAACACTCCCATGTCTTTTCATTGCTGAATAATATATGTCATTGTATGGGATTTACAACAGTTTGATTATTCAATCACTTACTGAAGGAAAATGATTGATTTTAAGTTTGGCAATAACAACTAACGTTGCTATAAATATTTGTATGCAGGTATTTGTGTGGATTTGTTTTCAACTTCTTTGGAATTGCTGAACTGTTGAAATTTTTGTAAATGAACTTAATTATAACAATATCTCTAATATTTAGGATTATACACATTTTTAATTAATAGTAGGAGAGGAAAAAAATTGTTTCCTGGATTCATACAGCTGAGTTCTGGATAAATAAATATCCATGGTTTCTTCTTCTGTTCATGATCATACTTAGGCATGAAAGACTATTTATACTTATGCATTTTTATGGTTTATTTTTATGAGATTTCAAGCTGAGATCAACTCATAATTTGGTAAGATCATTACAATCAACATTTGAGAATGGATTACTTTAAAGATAGTGGAGAACATAGCATATAATGAATATCAGGATATGTTCAGGGGATGGGAGTGTCTTAAGTTATTGAAGGTCATTTTATAAGTTGTAGTAGAATTTAGTTCTGTGCTAGGTATCATTCAAAACCTCTGATTAAAGTATTAAACAGCAGTGTATGACCAGCAATTGCAGTCTTAGGTATATGCCAAAAGAAATGAAAGCATACATCCACACACAATGCTTATGTGTGAATATTCACAGCAGCATTATTCCTGATAGCCAAGAAGTTGAGTCAACATAGATATCCATGAGTTGTTGAATGGATAAACAAAACGTGTATCCATTCAATGGAAAATTAATCCACAATGAAAAGGAATGCAGTATTGATGCATGCTTAAATGCAATAAACTATGAACACATTGTGCTAAGAAAAAAGCCAGTCACAAAGGCCACATTCCATATTAGCCATTCATATGAAAACTGGGAATTCATCCCCAAACTGGGAACTCTATGAAGACAGGAAATAGAATAGTGAATTGCCCTGAAGCTGGGGATGGAATGAAGAGTGTAGGAAGCAGGTTTTTTTTTTTTTTTTTGAGGGGGTGTTTTAAAAATATCTTAGAGTTTGGTAATGGATGCACAGTTCTGTGAACATACTGAAAACCACTGAATTGTACACTTTAAACCAGTGGATGTTTGGGATGTATGTAAAATATAGCTCAATAAAATGTTTTCTTTTTAAATTTGTAAAAGGTTAAAAAAACCCTTTGATTAGATGTATATTCCACCCCCATAATGGCCTCCATTTATAAACTAAGACAGATATCATTAACAAAGATACTCAAGAGATATAAGTCACTGAACTATTACTATATAAGCGATAATAATAACAGTTAATGTCATAATACTTAACATTTATTGATATACCCACTCTAAGATTAGAGCAGAACCAGGTTTTGTGGGACATGCCAAATATTTAATTTTAAAAGTCAGAAAACCGAGGAAGGTAAGTAATGTTTGCACATGTTGTGGGCGACAACACTGGGATTCAAACCCAGAGTCTAAGAGACTTCATATAAAATTATAAAAATCTGCTATCTTGCCTATCCAACAAAATTATTAAATTACATGCAGGAAAATAGGCAAGTACACATACTTGTTGGATTGATGATGAAGATATCATTGATTTCAGACTTGGAGAAGACTTGCACATGAGATGGAAGTGTTGCATTAAAAATGACATTGTGGGCTGGGGATGTGGCTCAAGTGGTAATGTGCTCACCTGGCATGCGTGGTGCGCTGGGTTCGATCCTCAGCACCACATAGAAATAAAATAAAGATGTTGTGTCCACCGAAAAACTGAAAAAATAAATGTTAAAAATAATTCTCTCTCTCTCTCTTTTAAAAAAATGACATTGTGTAAATCTGCTGAGGAATAAAAGGGCAGGAGTTATAAAAACAACATAAAATATTAAGCCTGTTAAGCCTGATTATGAAACTCCCTTTTAAAGAAATTCATCTGGCAACTCCCTGGCATTAGATATTTTCTTCTGTAATATCCAGTTTTCAAGTTCAGAAAATAGAATCTAATGAAATAATTATTATCTTGTAGTGTGAAAAGTTCTGGCTTGCTTTTTTTTTTTTTTTTTTTTGCGGTGCTGGGAATTGAACCCAGGTCCTATGTTCATGCGAGGCAAGCACTCTACCAATTGAGCTATATTCCCAGCATGTGAGAAGTTCTGAAGGCCAGGATGCTTTGTTTTTAGTAATAACTACAATTGAAGCTGTCAGGGCAATGATTTTACCTAAGTGCCCTCTTAAATCTAGAATTATTTGAAAATTTTCACATAGATTGAAGTTTAATAAAAGAGAATATATCCCCCTAATTCTCTAGTATGGTCTGTGAACCATCAACCTTCAAATCTCCTAAGTATAAAAATACTGTTCTTTATTCTGTTTATGTGTCCCTCATCAAAACTGTCCCTAGCCTGTCAGGACCACTTATTTTTCTCCATTTGGCCACTGTTGTTTGGTTTCTTACAGATTTTTTACTATGACCTCACTAGCTATATAGCTTCCTAGTTCACATTTCTCAAACACTGAGTGCTTTGAGTGCCTACTGAGCTTGGGTATGTGAAGACAGCTTAGAATAAGGTGAGTCCAGGGCCTGGAGAAGCCCACTAGTAGTGTGAGACCCAGAAGAGGGGCGGGGAATGATTTTAATGAGGAAGTAAAGAATTTTGTGGGGTATTCAAAGGTGAACATGAGTTTTCTGAGTGAACAAAGGCATTCCATGCAGAGAAAGTAGAACTTAAATGATATGGAACCTCTAATACTTGTGGTCAGCTTATAGAAAGACAAGAAGTTTAGTGTATTAAAGCCGCAGGCCTGAAATATGGGAAGGAGGCAGGTAATGGGGAAAGATAAAATTATAAAAAAGATGGGTTCATGAAGGTATAGGTGGTTCTTTATGCTACTTGAGGTTTTGCATTTATCCTAAAGGAAACAGGGGATTGTGAAAGGTGTTTACAAAGGGGAATATGAATATATTCTATTTAGGAAAATAGAATGAAATTTTAGAAAATTAGTGATGATGCAGAGGATAAAACTAGCCATTGGAAAGGTTGTTATTTTTAGGAGGGTAGGAAATCTTAGGTTAGGGCAGTAGCGATGAGGAAGAGAAGGAGGGCTGGATTTGAAGAAGAATTGCTTGGATTTGGTGGTAGATTGGATCTGGGCAGTTGAGTGAGTAAGATCTTCATAGTTAGAAACTGTGTGAACCTGATGTCTCATATCATTCAGCATGACAGAAAATATCAGAAGGACTAAGGAATAATGAGCTGTGTTTTATGTATCTGAAGTTTGAATTAGTCAGTGGTTGAAAAATTGGTGGGCTATTCAAGAAGGTTTGAGAGTCATCAATATTTATCAACTAGTGATTTTCATTGTGTGTGTGTATGTATGTTTGTGTGGGAGAGTCAGTATGTGTTGCAGTGTGTGTCTATTTATCAGGATCACTTAATGGGATTTTAATACTTAATCCCTACCTCATATATTTAAATATTACCTTCTTCACAGTCTCCTGAGCCCTGTTAAGAATCATAGTTGTCCCCATTTTCTGATCTCACCTATTGCATAAGTAAGTCTTGCTTCTTTAGACCCCCTCAAAGTTATCTCTCTATAACCATAAGGCTTCCCTATAATAAGCCTGTTCTAACAGCCTTTTCCTGTGACACTTTAAGCTTCCTCATGGGATGTACCCTCTTTGGCTGCAGCAAGTTTTTAAAACTGGTTTTGTTGACTCAAATTAATAAATAAATAAGAAGAAGAAGAAGGAAAGAAAAAAAACAAGTCTTAGCTATTAGAGAAGCCAGAAGAGCACATTTAGAACCCTGAAAAATATAGGGCAAGTGGAGGAGGAGGAGACATTGCAGGAATTAAAGCTTCCACCTTTGCATTTGTACTCCCTACCCATTTGTCCTCTTCAAATTTCCTGTGCATAAAGTGTTTAAGACAAAACCAGGCTGCCTGGCTTTTAATCCCAGTTTTTACACTTATTAATAGTAACATTGTTAAGTTCTGCTTCATCGTGGTTCACTTTCCTGCATTTTAGGATTTATAAAAGTACCAATTTCATAGGTTTGCTGTGAAGGTTACATGAATTAATATGAACAGTGTGTCTTCCACGTAGTGAGCATTCAGTTATTTCTATGTGTTGAAACTAAAAACATGGTAGTTCAGCATTGTCATAGTACTTTAACAAAGAGTACTTTACTAACAACATAATATCCTGAATTTCTTCATCATTCTGATTGATCAAGACGGTATAAGGGCTATTCTGAAAATTTTTAAAAAATGATTCTTCCCTCCTACCACCAAATCATAGAAATTATTCAATTGTAGAAATAGATAGCTACAATCCATATGAATGATGCTGGATTTCTTAAGCCTAAGTAGACATTCCAACACAAACAAAATCACTTATTGTTTGGGGTAGAAAAAAAATGCCTGAAAATTGAACCACCTATCTTACCTGATATCTCTCTCTCTCTCTCGCTCTCGCTCTCGCTCTCACTCTTTTTTTTTTGTCTGATCTCTTGATATGATCCTTTGCCTCTGGACAAGCATGGTAACCCTGTGTAAGCATCAGAACGTTTTACTCATTTTCACATTTTTTTCTTCTTGGCATTATCCTCACTTGAAATAGCCTTTAATAGGCTATCAACCCAATCCCAATCTGAGCAGTTCTCATCCTTGGCTGAAAATTAGAATCATTTCGATAGATAGAAAAGAAACCACAAGGATCAGGTCATTTCCCACACTAATTGAAGTACAATTTCAGGGTGGGACTCAAGCATCAATGCTGCTAAAACTCCCCAGGTGATTCCATTGAACAACCAAGGTTAGGACCATTTCCCTAAACTGGCCACCAATTATTGGAGATTCTCTTTGATTAATGTAAGCTGTATGGGTTAGTCAATCTTCTTTTAGAATTTGTAATTTTAGAGCATATGATCCTATTTTATAATTTTTGATATATAGCTTATGGAAAAAGACTAAATCTTTTTTTTTTATCTCACTATGGGCAGAATACTTCTTTTACTACAATGGTTGGTGCAGACAGTGATATGCATCTATGAGGTCCTGTACATATGGCTGCTGGCTGGCAACTACCTTGGTTAGTACCAAATAGTCAAACATAAAACATCTGTTTAGTATGCAGCAATGATTTTGGACTAATGCCATACCAAATGTTCACAAAGGGACCTCATACGAAGAAATGTCACCACAACAACTTGTGTCTGACTCAATGACATGCCCTAGTGTTATGTTAAATTCCTTTTTTGTTGCTTCTTTCATAGAAACTCATAAAGATTCTGAGGTTAGTCTCTATGATTCTCTGTCAAGGTGAAGAGGCATTTAACTTCTTTATATTTTTTAAAAAATTAAGTGTATCAAGTATATATAAAAGTGCACAAATTATTAAGTGCAGAGCTTTCCAACTCATTCAAAGTGTACAAACGTGTAGCTGTCATCCCAGTCAAGAAACAGAATAAGACCAGCAGCCTCAAAGATCTCCTTATTCCTTCCTCAGATCAATTACCTTCTTCCTCCTCCTGAATGTTAGGGCATTTAACTTGGCTTTTTGTTTTTAGTGGCTAGATCCCCTCTAACTTCTTTTTCAATGAGGTATATTTTGCTTGCCCATTAGAAGAACCCTTCAACAATTTGGCGAAAGCTAGCAGCTCCTTTTCTATGATTATTTCCCCCATCTGTTTAGAATTCACATCCACATTGCATTGTTGCCTCATCTAATCAAGCAAGAAAATGTCTCAAGAGTATATGCTCCATAAACTACTTAATTTTCTGAAATATTCACTGCCAAGGGCTTAATGAGAAACCACCAAATCCTCTTTGGCTGTAAGTCCCTCTAAGAGCCCTTGTTTCTCGAAAAAGTTATGCAATACAAGAAGGCTGATAAAATTAAAAAAAAAAATTTATTTTTGCTTAGATCAGAGTTCCTAACATATTTGCCATAGTAATACACTGTTTTTATTAACATTTATACTTTAAGGGTCAAAATATCACATATTTATTATAAGTAGAAAAGTTAAGATTAGTCTGAGGATAGAAGCAGTTTACATATTATCTCAGCAAATAGGTCTTAAAGCTGTTTTCAAGGATGTATATAATGATACCTCTCTGGACTCACATTAGCCATTGCTTTCTCTTAGTGGGGGCCATCTGGCATAATACTGAATGCAGGCTTTATAGCAGAACTCAACTTTATTTTTATTCTGTGTCATCATAATTCTTATAAAATACTAAAGATATACTGAATCCTTATTTTTATAAGTTTATTTTATTTATTTTTATGTGGTGCTGAGAATCGAACCCTCACATCGAACCTCACACATGCAAGGCAAGCGCTCTTCTGCTGAGTCACAGCCACAGTCCCTGAGTACTTATTTTTTAAAGCCTTTTAAAAGTTTTAAAATCATGCTAAAAGCAATGGTCTTGAGAAAAAATATTAGAATAATTTTCAAGGAGACTTCAATTCAGGCAAGAAAGAAGTAGGATAGAATCATGATAATTAAGTAGAAGTATAATTAATTAAGAATAATTTTGAGAAGCTTGAAATGTTTACATAATTTTAAAAGACTCTAAACCTCTTTTGAGGGCTGTAGGCACACTGTGGAATATTGATTATCTGCCTTCTGGGCGGACTGTTTTGATCACTGCCATTTTTAATTTATATAATTCAGTATTTCTATCTCAATGAGAGAACATGGGATCAGGGGCAATTCACAGACTTCATATATCCAGGATTAATTCTTTTATTATCTTGAGGACTTATTATAGTTATTGGTAAAGTACAGGATTATTGTTGGAAGGAAATATGCTTCACAATCACATAGGAACAATCTTGAAAGGAACACTGGATAAGTTGGGGTCATTGTTGAAGAAGGAACATCATGTTTTCCATTTTCTCACCCCAATTGTGTTCCAGTCCAGACAAATGAAACTGCACAATGTAATTCTTGCCAACAGAAAGGTCAGGATAATAGCATCTCCAAATTCGATGCTGATCTGCCACTGTGCACAATAAAGCACTAGTTCGGGTTTTCTAGGTTGTAAATTCAAAGTGATATTTATGAGACTGGAGTATAGTTGTCACTTGTGTGATGAAGTTACAGTGTTGGATGAGAAGTTAGGAATTTTTTTTAAAAGAAGCAGTGATTCTCTATATTTTATCCTTCTCAACCAGCACTTTCAAATAGATCTTCCTCCATTCATGGAAATATTCTGTGTCTGTACTGTCCAATAGGGTAGGCATTAGTCACATGTGACTTGAGCACTTCACATGTGGCCAATAGGATTCAGGAAATGAATTTTTAATCTTATTTTAACTAATTTAAGTAACCACATGTGGCTGATGGCTACTGTATTGAACAGTACCATTTAGTTTATGCATTGTGCTAACAAAGAAATATCCTTAAATTGCATAACAATGGACTCTATTGACTTGTATATTTACTTTTGTGTCAGGGGATTCCTTTGTACACCAAAATAACACAATTTAATGTAATTCCTACTTTGCTTCCAAATACAAAATTCTTGCTAAATAACATTAAAAAAAACAACTTTGAACAACAGAAATGTATTATCTCACAGTTCTGGAGCTTACAAGTCCAAAATCAATGTGTTGACAGGGCTGGTTCCTTCTGGAGGCACCAAGGGAGAATTTGTTCCATGCTTCTTTTCTAGATTCTGATAGTTGCCAACAATCCTAGGCATTCCTTGGCTTACACAACACAGTTCTATTTTTTAGGCCATTGTAGTGTGTACATTTCTTAAAGATAAATGCCAATTGACTTACAAATAAGAAAATGAAGAACAGGCATTTCTGTTTTCATAAAGGTGGTTGTATTTAGCACATAATAAACAAGAAATTACCTTTTAATTGTTTAAATATAGATTATAACATAACTTCTCTTTAAGTTTGTTTGTTGAATTCTTAGGTCCCTTATCATAGAACCCATTCTCATTGCTTTTTGGCCAATAGCGAAATATTTAGCCTCTCCTCATCCTTATATTTTTAATAGCATGTTCTCTTATGACAACTGGATATGGCTTTTCTGAGTGTCAGTGTGTCATATCCTTTACCAAACTAATTCTACCACCATTGAGAACTGGAATAAAAAATTATATTGGTTGAAGTCCACTTCTGTTTCCCTCACTAGGATTTTAGTTTTGAGGTTCCCATATGTCAGTTTGTATTATTTGAGACAAAATTATTGAATGTAGCAGTCAGCCAGAGAACTAGTCTTTGTTTTCTTGAAGACTTAGTTTGCATTTGACCCAGGAAAATATTGGATTTTAGATTTGTATAAGTAAAAAATTTGAGACCCATTCTGACTCTGCATCAACAGTTTCATACTTTTTCAAGTTTCCCCACTAAATAATAAACAATGATAAAAAGCAGTGATCATCATAATAATAAAGCACTACAAGTCAAAGAGATCCGGATGCAAGAAGAGGTTAAAACTGAGAGGGAGTTGCTGGAAATGCATGCATTGTGCAGCATTAAGTTAAGTCAAAGAAATGTATTTCAAATAGTAGGTATCTGATAAGTGTACTTTTAGTAGAGGCAGCTGATGAGTGGAATTTTATGGTATTTGAAGTGAGACATTCCTGAATTAGAATCCTGATTCTGCCACAGTATAGATAAGTGACCTCATGCACATTTCCCAAGCTCTTTGAACCTCAATTTTCCGATATGTAAAACAAGGATTAAAAACACCCTCTTTGCAGTATTAACGAGATAATGTTTGTGATGCCTGAGACCTGGTCATCACTCAATAACTGGTCGTTATTATTATTATTCTGCCTATCCTGAATCTGTATCAATATAACAAGCTACCTCTATCACTTTCTTGTTTTTTCTTTTACCTTAGTAGAACCAGTGTTATGGGCAGGTCGCTCAGAAAACACACAAAGTCCCAGTTTTGTCCAAATTGAAGAGTCTTTATTTAGCCCGCGACTGCTCTCTACCGGACCCATAACTGACTCTGAAAGGAACAGCCCGGAGCCTGAGCATTTAGGATATTTAAAACCACATCTGGGTTGACATAGCCTCAAGCAAGCAAGTAGAGAAGCTGAATTGGGCAGTTAGTAAGACATTGCAATGGGTACATTGGTATTTCCCACGGGACTTTCCAGGTTGGAATAACAGCAAGCAAGCAGAAAGGAAGTGGGTCAAAATGACCCTTGTTCAGTACAAATTAAGAATGGTTACTAACATCTAGACAATAATTGTGGAAGAAAAATTGAAACCGAAGAGAACAATTTTACTTTGTATAAGAATTGCTATTTTGTGTTGCCAGGTATGTTATGCTAGGTAACTATTAATGGGTACAGAGGCAGGGCTTTCCCATGAGAGAAGCATTTCTTACATGTTATGGAGTCTTTTTGGTCATTGCCCATATAGCCTGGCCCATAACAGGTAGAGATGGGCAAATAATACACCTTTAATATTAGTGTTTTAGAAACACAGGTTTTAGTACTTTCCAGTAGACCCAAACCATTTTCATTCAAATTAGATCAGTTCTATGGTTCTCTTTTCAAACACAGATCTGTAGCAAAAATAAAATTCATTAACTTTGATAAAAAAATCTCTCTTGAGAACTTAAAAAAAACCCCAAAATCAAAAACAAAAACAAAACTTACTGTCTTAGTTTTTTTTTTTTATGTAAGAGAGACAAAAATGTTTTTGTAAGCTCCTTGAAGGCAAGGAAGTGTGAATGTGTATCTGTGCCCTACATTTAATGGACATTTTATCAGTGTTTGTGAAACATTTGAATCAGTCTGGCATGTTCATGTAAACGTTTTGCTATAATTGAATATTGTAAGTGTGTAGGAATCACTGTGGTGACAGTAGCCCCTTATTTTTAGAGTGGATTGTATGTGTTGAATAATTTTGCCCCAAATATAAAATTATATGCATGTACATCAATGGGGCCGGGCATTCTGGGATCACTAGGAAGGAGTGATGGACTTTTCCCTTCCCCAGGTCCATGGTCCTCTTAGTTGTCCAAGCCCAATATTTACTGCCGTTAGCCCCTTGAACTAGAGACCTTTTATTTGATAGAGGGCCCAATGGGGCCTTAAGGGCTGAGTATACTGCCCCTGTATCCACTTCAAAGTTTACTGGGGTCCCCTCCACTTCAAAAGTTACCCTGAGCTCAGGAAGGGGATCTGAGCCCCGACTTTCCTAGTCATCCTCCAGAGTCAGAATGGCTGACTGGCATGGCTGTCTCTTTCTAGGGCACTCTTTGGCCCAGTGTCCTTTTTCTTTACAGTAGGCACATTGATCTGAGGCCAGGGGTGGCCTCTGGCGTGAGCCCAGGTATCTCTTCCTGTCTCCCTGTTTCTTAATTTCTGGCCTATTTGTTGTTGTGACCAGGACCTTAGTCAATGCCTTAGTCTGTCTTTTGCTTCTCTCATCCTCCCTTTGCTCCCTTTCTTTCTCCCTCCTTTGTTCCTTCTCTTCCTCAGTTTCTCTCTTATAGTATACCTTCTCGGCTTCTCTGACTAAATCTCTCAAATAAATATCTTGTAATCCATCTAAGCATTGTAACTTTCTTTTAATATCCAGGGCAGCTTGCCCAATAAAGGCCATCGTGACAGATGCCTTTTGATCCTCTGCCTAAGGATTGAAAGGAGTATATCTCCTATATGCCTCCATAATTCTCTCTAGAAACATAGAGGGAGATTCATCAGGCCCTTGAATAATCTCTCTTACCTTGGCCAAATTAGTTGGTCGCCTAGCGGCCACTCGGAAACCCACTATTAGAGCCCAGTGATAAGTGGACAGATGCTCCCTACCTTCAAAGGTGTTGGGGTCCCAGTTGGGTTGTTCAAGGGGAAGCCGGCTTCGATTATGTTGGGAAGTTGTGTCGGTCGCCCATCTGGTCCGAGGATATTTTTTCTAGCTTCCAGGAGGATTCTCTCTCGTTCCTCTGTCATGAAGAGAGTGCCTAGGAGTTGTTGGCAGTCATCCCAAGTAGGCTGGTGTGAAAACATCAATGACTCAACCAGACCTGTGAGCCAGGTGGGGTCCTCGGAAAAAGGGGGATTGTTATTTTTCCAGTTATATAGGTCTGAAGAGGAGAAAGGCCAATACTGGTAGGCTTGCATTTCTCTCCCATGGCTGTCGTCAATCATTGGCCTGTAGGGACGGAGGGGGAGTATCACGGGGGCTTCAGGGTTTTTAATCATTCGCCGCTGGTGAGTTCCTTTAGCTGGGCCAGCGTCCTCCAGGGGAGGAGGGGCTGTGTGTGCCGCGGGGGAGTCATCTGGAGGGCGCTGGGCTGGCTTTGCTTCCTCCAATGGCGGAGAGGCTGAGTCAGCAGCAGGGGAATCACTTAGAGGGTGTTGGGGGTTGGGGGACGAGGGCAGGGGATTAGGAGGGGGTGGAGAATCCAGTAGAGTCAAATCTTGAGACTCAGGGAGAACAGAGGGTGAAGGAGGAGGAGGAGCAGAGGGTTTGAGAGATAGAATCATGGGGGAAGGAGTAGGAGCGGGGGCAGGGACAAGGAAAGGCTTCACCCATGGAGGAGGAGATTCGCAGAGGTCCTGCCAAGTTAAGATATACGGCTTATGTTGATCCGGATGGCTATGTGGCCCTGGCTGAAAGGCAATATCTCTGACTTTTCGAATTAGTGGGGAGTAGAAAGATCCTTCTGGGGGCCATCCGACTCCAAAGGTGGGCCATTCTGAGGCACAGAGAGTCTGCCAGGTCCGGCGTTTTACTGAAAAAGAAAGATTCTGAGCCCTTAAGCAGATTTTGGTCCAGTGATCAAGGGTCAGGGACAGAGGCATTGAAGTGCTCTGTCCCATAATGAAAGATACACAAACAGTGAAAGCAACGACACACAACACAGACAAGACAAGACAATAAAGACAGGCAATGGACGTCCAACACTGAGACCAGGACTGAGTAGCCGGCAAAACCCGATGGGCTGGCAATACCAAATCGGAAACAAAATATCACTGAGTCGAGGAGACTATTGTTCCTCGATTTCCTCTGGGGCATCCCCCAGGGATGTGGCCTGTGGCTCTGTGACATGTCTGTCAGCCACCGTCGGAGAGAGCTCACGCTCTTCACCGACAGCCATTTTGCCAAGCCCTAACCTGAAACCTGAAACCAGAAAGAGGCGCCTTACTTACCCCGAGAGGAGCCCGTTGGGGTCTCTCGTCCGCCGCTGCCGGATCTCGGTGGAACCTCCATATGTAAAGGTCGGGCGAGCATCGGAGGAAGAGACCACCAAGAGACTGTCTCATGCAACAGCAAAGGGTTTATTGGGGGTCCAGCATGCTGGGGCTCAGAGCTCACTTGAATAGAGCAGAGAGCCCTGAGAACAGCTTAAGCAGAGCTTATATACTTTCCTTGGAGAGGGCAGGGAGGGAAGTTTATTGATGGGTCAGGGCGAGTGGGTGGTTTACATGCAACCGGGTGAGGGAGTACATTCTGCAGTTTGGCAGTTGGGGACAGCACATTCTGGGAACAAGATTAGCAAACAGTTCTCAAGATTTCAACAGTGTTTTGTTAAGCATACAGAAAAACAGGAAGTGACAAGTACCTATTTTGTTAACCTTTCACATGTAAACGTTTTGCTATAATTGAATATTGTAAGTGTGTAGGAATCACTGTGGTGACAGTAGCCCCTTACTTTTAGAGTGGATTGTATGTGTTGAATAATTTTGCCCCAAATATAAAATTATATGCATGTACATTTTTTCTTATTACAAATTATTTTACATGTGTCAAAAACTTGTAATGTGAAAGGACAGTTACAATGATAATCTAGTATCACAAACAGAAAGTGAAGATAAATATATGTATAATTAAATAAATTACACAAAGAAGTTCCTCCTGCAGGTATATAATAATACAGGCATTGATTAATCAAATTGTATTTCAGTGTCTGGGTAAGCTGTGTTGTCAAGTCTTGACTAATGGTTTTGTAATAATGTCTTGTTGATCTAACATCAGTAAACTGCCAATTCTGTGACAGTTGGTGCAATTAATGCTCATTCCAGTTGTTGTTAATGACAATGCTATAACCCCTGGTTGTGGTGTACACATAGCACATGTGCAGGAAAGAAAGTCACTAACTAGGCCAAAGTGGAAGAATGCTGTGTCTTTTGATTAAAATATAATGTAGATTGCCACAGTCTGGCTGGGCACAAAATCACGAGCCACCACACACCTTGTAGATTCAAACAGCAACTCTTTATTCTCCAACTGTCACCGGCACTTTACATACACGTTCTGGGGGAATTCACGTTCTGGGCCCAAATCACGTTCTGGGCAAAATCCCAAATACTCTCTGAATCCCACGAGAACTCAACGGGAACTCAATGGGAACTCAACGAGCAGGCGTGCCTGAAGCAGCAGGATACGCCCTATTCCCAGCAGGGTACACCTTAAACCTGGAACCGCCCTAAACCCGGATTGTCCTAAACCCCGATCCGCCCTAAACCCGGATCCGCCCTGGTCCTTGAGCAAGGTCACCTTACATGCAATGTCACTGCAAATGACCTGGGTCATGCCATGCGTCATTCTTACTTAGCAATGGCCCTCAGCAGTAGATAATATTTTTAACCTAAGTTATGTGTAGGATAAAAAGAAATGTGATGAAAGACTTTGAGACCACATCCTTATTTATTATCCATATCTTTGAAAATTATTTTATCATTCAGTAGTTAGACTATAAGTGGGAAACATACTTGCTCCTAATTTATGTGAGAAATAGAATGTTCTTTTGAATTATTAGGTACCTAAGTTTCCTTTGACACTTAATACAGTCCAAATGTTGCAGCATTTGGACAGCCTTAAAAGTAACTGGAATATCATGTAAAAAATAAAAAAGTAACTGAAATATTGATTCCTTCTCACTATACTAGACCATAAACACATAATGGATATTTAAGGCGGGGCAAAGTCCCGGAGTCTTTTGAATCAGAAAAGGAAGGTTTTTCTAACCACTGGAATTACCCATTAAAGACTGCCTGTTCCTGGTCCATCCTCATTCAAATGGAGAGGTAATCCTAACAAATAAAGTAAATATTTTAGTGCTCTCTAGTTGCTAGAAAGTGCTAGATGCTCCTTTTCTTCTGTAGATAATTATTATATGTAAAGATATAGTTAACATTTGGATAACTGATTTTTCTGCCTCTTAACCTTGTCATAATTGCTTGGTTAAAAAAATAATTGCAATCCTATCATCAACTGGAATGTGGTAGTTACTTCACTCATCCCTCAAATAACACAACTGAAGAAAATCTAACCCACTATAAAAATGAGGAAGAAAGAGAGTTTCATGTTCTTTTAATCCTTTACTGCTTGTTTTCCTTAGACTTTTATTTGAATTTCAGATCATAGAACTTAAGGTTAGAACAGTCTTAGAAATAATCTGATCCACTTGCCTGTTATACAGTGGTCCAAGGACATCACATGATTTACAGAAAATTGTATACTTAGCTAGTGGCAGACCACAGGCTTGTAGATTATATATTCTGGACCTTCTGGGAATATTTTCATAGCTGTTACATTGACCTAAGTATCACTCCAATCTATATTTGATTTTTTAATGTTTATGTATTTATGGATGTCATTTGTCTTCTTATTAAATGGGTTTTTAGATATGTAAATTGGCTAGCTTACTAGTTTTACACATGTGGAATTAACCTTCTGAGTTGACAAGGTCATATAGTTGTTACAGTAGCATAACCAGGACTAGTACTTTGATGGCTTGACTTATACATAGTGCAGAGCTCTTTGTGTTTGGTGGTTATCCATTTAGATCCCAACCACTGTTTACCCAACATTTACATAGATGTGACACCTCCAACCAAAGGAGGTCTTACTGATATGTTCAGCCTTGGAAAATTAAATTCTCAAGTTTAATAAGGAAATCATAGCACAACCACATGTTCAGGAATAGATTTTTGTGTTTGCTGCAGGTAACAGTAATACAATGGGAAAATCTGCTTGGTTATTACTATATGCTCTGTGATATAACCTCAGTATGAATCTCAGGCCTATATTCTTTAAACTGGAGCATCTATTTGTGGAACTGTTGACAGATGTCTTTGGGCAAAGGTGAATGAAATAGAATATACTGTTAATTATTTAACATACTTAGTGCTTGTGGAGGAAAAATAAGTAGGAAGTACCTTAAAGAAGATACTTTTTTCTTTATTTTAAAACCAATCCTTCTGTAATCTCAGTGGCTTGGGAGGCTGAGACAGGAGGATTGTGAGTGTAAAGCCAGCCTTAGCAAAGGCAGCACTAAGCAGCTCAGTGAGACCCTGTCTCTAAATAAAATACAAAATAGGCAAAATAGGGTTGCAATGTGGCTCAGTGGTCGAGTGCCCTTGAGTTTAATTCCAGGTACCCCTCCAAAAAGACCTATTTAATTTGGAAAATATAGAAAACTATAATGAAGGAAATTTAAATCATTAAATACTCTACCATCCATTGATAATCATGGTTATTTTGCTATATTTCCTTTTAGTCTTTAGTTTGTCTGTTTATAACTATATGTATAGCAGTGTTGCAATATATTTTATAAAGTTTCATATTTTTACGTTACATTTTAAGGATATTTCTGTTATTTTACATTTTAAATATAAATACTATTTCTTAATGAAGTCATTCCAGTATTTTTAATCAAATACATTTATTTAAATTTTTATTAAATAAAATTGTTGGCTATATTGTTCTTTCCAGTTTTTTTATGATTAAATAGGAAAACTGGGGAACTTGGTAAGGCAAATGGCATAGGTCACATAGTTTGTAGGGCCTTTTTTCCCTTATTTAAAATATGCTTTCATAACAAGGAAAGTCACATTGTTTACTGACTATAGACCTGAGTATTCTTTTCTTATCAGTTATAGATGCTTGTTTTCATTTAGTTCTTGATGAAGGCACTTGAGGAATTGGAAGGACAATTAGCCCAAATCAGGTTCACCAAATCTGACTCCATTTCAATATCATGCCTTTCTACCTCCCACCTGGCCCCTCCCACCCAGATTAAATTAGTTAAAGAAATCACTTAGAGCATTTTGTAATAATCTTAAAGTCTTTTCTTTTTCCAAATGGTGAAAATTTTTTAGACACTAAAATGCTTTGAAAACAAACAATTTACATGTTTAACATTCTTCTCACTCATAATAATATATAGGTAACTTCCCATTATCTGTGAATATAGGTTCTGAGGACTCCTACAATACATCATCCCAAAATTATTCTCTATCGAAGCAAATGTCTATTTGATATTGGATTTTAAAGATGATGACATAGTAGCAGATTGTTATAAGGCATATGGACCAATATACGTAACCATGCAAATGTTTTTTGTTTGGGAAAGGGAATTTTTTATCATTTTTGAGATTAATTACACTTTAATTTTTGGTACTTTGGGAAATATGTTTTTAGTAATTGGGGAACAAGAAAGTTATTGGACCACTATTAATGATTAGGGCAAATTGCCCAACTTTGGTGAAATCTTCTCTGTTATACCCAAATGGAGTTAAAATTTCTTTTGTGTGGAATCTAAACTTTGTGTAGGACTCAAATGTATTCATTATACTATCTCATATTATTTCTTTACATGTTTACATTCAAAGCTTTTACGTGAGGCTACTCTGTGTACAGCACTGCAATGTGAGTTACACTTGTGGAGATGTGTACAGTGTGTGACTCTGTCTACATTCTTCACAGATAATCAGCACTTTAACAGAAGTAATTAATTGCGTTATGGCCAATTTTGTATGCAAATCACTTAGCACAGGGTCTGGTTCATGACAGTTCATTATTTTCTTTTGAATGAATAAAGGGAAGAATATGCTATGATCAAGCCAAATTCCACTCAGCTCTCCAGATTGCATTGACAGTGTTTCCCCAAGTAAAGAATTTAGGTATGAAAGTCCACTTTAACAATCACCATTAGGTACATTCATAAATGATTAAACAGATGTACTGCAATGTGTTTGAGTTGTTCTTAACCTAGTACAGCATTTTCTATAGTGTGTTTTGTGGAATACTAATTTTGCAAGATGCATTTAGAGTTTTTCTAATTAAATAAGTTTGTGCAACAAGACATTACTACACCCCTCTGTTGAAAATTGGCAATGCACCTTAACATATTAAAG